GGTAATAGAACAGAAGAGGAAAAATAGAGGGAACAGGCATCAGCTGGAAAGAGGAAAAAGAAAGTAGAAAATGAGTGAGAAAAAGTATGATGACACATGACAGTGCCATGATGAAACCCCTTATTTCTATATCAACCTAGAAAACAACTTTATTATAAATGTGTGTGTGCATGATGTGTTTGCATGCATGGGGTGGGAATGCATGCCCCCGCGTGCCTGTGGAGGTAGGAAGACAACCATGTGGACAGTGTTCTCTCCTTCCATCTTAATGTGAGTTCTGGAGATGGAACTCACACTTCCAGCCTTGTACAGCAAGTGCTTTTTCCCTCAGAAACATCTCTCTGATCCCCCAAATTAATTAAAAACAAAACAACAAAAACACCCTCCATAATTGGAATATTATCAGACAGGTGGCACCTGTCCAAAAGCCAATGTTCAGCTTCTACTTAAAAGAACGCACTTGCCCCCACACTGCTTCCCATTTGTCCGTGTCAGTCAAGAACTTAAAGAGCTGGAGAAGCAAGGAAAGCTTCATGCTGGGTCCCCCTGAATTCAGCTGCACCCTGCATGCTGGGTCCCCCTGAATTCAGCTGCACCCTGCATGCTGGGTCCCCCTGAATTCAGCTGCACCCTGCATGCTCTGGCCTGCACTGGTAGAGTAACCACCTGAGCACTCACAGACTTTTCTGCCAATTTCTAGGGATGAAGTTTGAGTATGATCACACAACAAATAAAAAGATACAATTTAAGCTAGGAACATTGTCAGACATTCTATTTGAAAAGAAGTATCTTGCTTATGTCACATAAAACACAACCTACTTTTAAGCTTTATATGTGAACTGAAGCAGAACTGTAACTATAGATGCATTTTCCAGGAAGCCAAAAAACCCTCAAGTTAGATAATATGCAAGTATGTCACTACCTATAGCAACTGACTGGGCAATGAAGAAAAATTGCGTTTAATGTCTCAGTTGCTGGAGACAATGTGGCATCTGTTACTCAA